GCATATAAATAGAAGAGCTGGTGCTACATCAGCACAGAAAGCAAGTTCAGGGTGATTTAAATTCTCTGCCACGTTCCAAAGTTACTTCCTAATGTGCCAGAGGGAGCCAAGAGATGGCCAAGGTAGGATGCAAAACCAGCTACACAATTTGTGTGCCCTCCGTCTCGGTTCTATCGTTGCATGACAGCTGGACGTGGTAATGGGGGCAGTAGGAGGGCTCAACTAGAAACAGAAGCAAAGGACAGTTGTGAACTCTGTCTTCCAGGGAGCCTCCCAGGCTTCATCGTCACACCAACCTGGCTGGTTTGCTTTGAGTGTGTGGCGGGGGAGGTAGGCCAACTGAGACTTAGAGCTAGCAAAGCAGACGCTGGAGGCAGGGAAAGGCTACCCATACTGTCAAACGCCCATGGGATGCCAAGCCCTGGCTCACCTCTCTACAAAGACAGTCTCATTTAATTCTCAAAACAGTCATGAAGGCAGGAATCACTGTCTGGCTTTTTGAGATGAGGAAGCTGGAGTGCAAGTCACCCAAGATCACCCAGCCTACAAGTACTGGCACCAGAAACAGAAATGATGGCTTTCTGACCCCTTATCCGTGCTGGTCTTACATGCTTTGTTTTGTTTTTCCTTAAGGAACTCCTTTTCAGCATTTTGTTGTCAGAATGTTTGCAAATGAAATAAAAAAAAGGACTTCCAGGCTGAGGATAGCTCCCTGGTTGGGTCACTCTGGCCACAAGTCTAATAATAGCTTCTAAGAGGCAACTTAAGGCTTTGCGCCAAACCAGAGCTTAAAAATTCTTTTATTTTATCAGCTCCTTTTAGGAATAGAAATCCTTCTATTCTCCTACTTTAGAATTCTCAGTGGAGTTCAGCTGGAAAAATTAGCAAATGCCACTTTGATGACTTCTATTTCTCTCAATTCTGTCATGCCTGCGCTTTTGCAACCTGTTGAATATAAAGCAAAGTCTGCCAGGGCCAGAGGCTTTCAGCAGCACAACTTTGTTTGGCAGCAGGGGGTCTGCAAGTCTTTGGAACAGGGGAGCTTAAGGCCCAGCCTTAATTCCAACAGAGGCTGGAATCTCAAAGGCCCACAAGTGGCCAGTCACTGAGAGAGGCTTCACAGTACCTTATGTATCACTCTGTGTCCATCCAAAAAATAAACCACAACAGTATTTTCACAGAGAAAATTTAACAATAAAGAATAGTTAACTCCATATTGAGATGCTGAAAAGGAAAAGAGAGGACACTAAGAGATCACAGAGGGGTAACTACTGTAGGAAGCAGAATCCTCTTCTAGGACTAGAGGTTGACGTCATTTAAACTGAGGAGCTTGGAGACCCCGAATGACTGGCACCCAGACTCCTAAGGAGGGGCACCCACTGGCTGGTGGCTGGCATCTCTGACAGGGTGAGATGGAGCTGGCTCTGTGCGTGTCAGAAAACTATAATCTTCATTAAACTCTCCCTACTTCAGTGATCCGCTGCTGCCTGAGCGTAGAAGTGAGGCTCGCAGGACTCCACAGGAACAGGCAGCACGCAGAAAGTCATTCATTCCTCCTCCCGCCTCCAAAGCACCACATCCCCCTTGCACCTCCTATTGGCAATGTCTATCTGGGAAGCTGCTGGCAAAGCAGAAGTGTGACGCACAGAGTTCCAGCCCTAGGTCATAAAACTACAAAGACATGGGTTCGAGTTGAGAGACAATGACTTAATACTTAACATATTTAGTAAGATTAGGAGAATAAATTTGACACCAGAAACTGAACCAAAACAAAACAAAACGAAAATCATGGCACTAAAAGACACTCATTTGGGAAAATGTTTTTAGTTTAACTACTTGCATTTTATATTAAGCCATTGCCTTAGTACAGGGAAAGGGGAAAAAAAAACTGTTACATTATTATTGGAAACCCTGCATTCAAGTAATGCAAATCTGTCTTCAAGTTCATTTAACAAAGTGACATTTAAATTACTAAGAAGAATGGAATAAACTCTATGTTATTTGCACTCTCCCAATACACTGGGATGAAATTGTCCTGGGATCAGCAACTGATTAAGCTGATTATATACCTCATACATGTAGGATGTGGCTTTCAACCGGCCACAATCAAAATACAATTTACTTCTGTTAGTGTAATAATGTAGATGCTATAAAAGGCATCTCTTTGTAAGTGTTTTTCATTTACATTTCTCCTACTATTAGCAGGGTATTTTCACAGACTCATTCTATCTGCCCCCCCCATTCCATATTCTAATTTTTTTTTGTGCTTCTCAGAGTCAAAGCTGGAAGGGAATCTTGATGCATGTTGAGAAGGGAGGGATCAAAGTTGCGGGCTGCTGAGAAACCACACGCACATGTGCACACGTGCGCGCGCACACACGCTAGACTGGGGCAAGGGGCTCTTCTTGGAAAGGTTTTGGGCAACATGTAAGGGAGGACAGACAGCAGAGCATCTACCTACCAACAGTGCAGAGTGGAAATGGATCTCCTGACCAGTGAAAGTGGTCACTGTCTCTGGGCACCTATTCTCAAAGGTGATGGGCATGAGGGCAGAATCCCCAGAGGAAGTGGCCCATCCAAAAAGGCAGGAAGCTATTTGCTCACTTCACTCACCTTTTGGACAGATGGAGTGGTGCCTATTATGTCTTCTCTACTCTGTTGTCATTGTTCCTGGACTTCTGCAGTCATCTTGTACCTGCTCATATTAGTCAAGGTTCTCCAGAGAAACAGAACAAATAGGATTTATAAATATATATGTATGTGTGTGTGCATATATATGTATAATATGTATGTGTATGTGTGTGTACTATGTATATACATCACATCCATGTATCTATATAATATAGAAAGAAAGAAAGAAAGAAAGAAAGAAAGAAAGAAAGAAAGAAAGAAAGAAAGAGAGAAAAGAAAGAAAGAATTCAGTTGTGAGGGATTGGTTCACGCAACATGGAGAATGAGAAGTCCCAACAACCTGCCTGTTCTCCTGAGCAAGCTGGAAAACAGGAAAACTGGTGATTTGGTCCCAATCCAAGCCCGAGGCCTCAGAACCAGGCCAGCCAACTTGCAAGTTCTAGTCTGAATCCAAAGTCTCAAGAAGCAGGAGCTAAGATAGTCAAGGTAAGAGAAGATGGAGATTCCAGCTCAAGAAAAATAAACTAAATTCACCCTTCTGTCTTTTTATACTGTTCAGGCTCTCAGTGGAGGGAAAGATGCCTACCCACATGGGTGACGGTGACAGTGGGGCTTCATTATTCAGTCTGTGGAGTCAGAAGCACATCTCTCCTGGAAGCCCCTCCCATGTACACCCATAAGTAATGTACTACCAGCTTTCTGGGTCGTTCTTAGTTCAGTCAAGTCAACACATAAAATTAACCATCACACTGTTCTTTCCAATCCTATTCTTGTTCTTTTCCCATTTATTCTCCATAAAGCAGCCAGAATGAGCTACCCCTCCCTTTTTGAAAAAAAAAACTCAGAAGTTCCCATTTCACTTAGACTAAAATACAAATATTTTAGCGGAACTTACAAGGCCCTGCATGATCTCCTCCCTGTCTGTCCATCTTCCTTTGGTGTCCTTCTCCTCTCCCCACCCTGTGCTAGCTGGTGCCTGCAGCTCTCTCCTGCTCCCACCCTTCTGAATCTTCTCTCCTTCATGTCTTGCATATGCAGCTCTTACTTATTCTTTATCCTTGATCTTAGGAATCACTTTCTAGAACAAGCTCCCATCCTTATTTTCTCCCAATCCTTTGCCCCCCACCCCCGCGCCCGCCAAACCACAATTCATAACCCAATTGCTATTTAGTCAATGTCCTGCTCCCCACTAGAGATTCAGTCCCAGGAAATTAGGGGTCTTGGCTTTTGGTTATCACTTAGCTGTTGCATTCCTGGTGTTTAACCTAGGCTTGACACATAATGGATGCTCAATAAATATCTGTTGAATAAATTAGCAGCACAAAAATATATTATCAGACATAGCTGTCCCCTAAAGCCATTGTCATCCCCTGATATGGGAATGTTTCTATTGGCCAGGTTTATCCCTTTGGGTCCAATTTGTTCTACCTTTTCAAGACACTTCCCTTCTTATATATCCTTACTCCCTTTCTTCTCCCCGATAGCTGTCAGCTACTAACATCTGAAGTCACTTATTAATACTGTGCGTCAGATAAGTCTCACACACCAGTGTAAAATAAGCGCCAGGCCTGCCTTTTCACATTCCAGAATTCACGAAGGCAATCTGCCAAGTGAAGGGCTCATTGATCTAGTCTTCATCCTTCAACACTACAGCTAGAATCTGTCCTTGGGATGGGAATAGGAGAGACAGTGGAAAGAATTTGCCATAACTTTCCTGTGTACATATATGAATACACAACAGTGGATCTCACCATCGGGAACATCCACACGACTGGGGCCCTAATTGGAATAAGATATATTCCATGCATGTATAATTTTTACCAAAATGTCTGTCATGTACAACTAAAAAGAACCAATTTATAAAAAAAAAAAAGAATCTTTCACCCATTTCCTTCAACACTAGTTTCTCTAAGTAAAGGGAGAGTTGTTTGTTTGTTGTTCATTTGAATGTATTTTCCTTTTTCAATCTCCAGAATAATCTCTTGGAGTAATGAAGAATGATTTACTTTCCTTAACGTGTGGTGGATGTGTGATGTGGTTTAGGAAGTGGATTTCATCCCAGATTTAAGGAAAGCTTATCCCTTTGACAGTGGAGTCTGGGCTCATTTATTCAAAGTGACAGACACAATTCTGGTGGACCAAACACACCTGGCCAATTCCCTCTGGAGCTTGTGTTCCAGAAGATGATATTAGAAGGAAAGGGACTTCCCTTCCCATGTGCTTGGTGAACATGGAAATTCTGGTTTTCAGCAAGGAACTCACTTCTTTGTTAAAGTTCATAAAAATATGCCAAAATATTTTTAAATTCAGGGCTGTATGCTTTATGTCATGAATATTTCAGTTCTTATTTTCAAACATTCTAGTTAGCATAGATGCTGGGGAGAATCTTTAATTATAATAGATAAGAAAGATTACATTTGCATACATGCTCATTGTCTTAGTCCGTTTGGACTGTTTTAACAAGATAACATTAAACTAGGTGTTTTTTTTTTCAAACAACAGAAACTTATTTGTCACAGTTATGGAAATGGAAAGTCTGTGACTGAGGTTTTGGCACATTTGATGCCCACTGCCTGGTTCACAGAGGGTACCTCTTCTCCATTTCCTCACATGGTGCAAGGACCCCAAGAGCTCTCTGGACCCTCTTTTGTAAGGGCACTAATTTCATTCATGAGGACTCTGCTCCATGTCCTTGTCACCTCCCAAAGCCCTACCTTCTAATGTCATCACGTTGGGGCTTAAAATCGCAACATACGAATTTTGTGGGAACACAGACATTCAGACATCTAAAGGTAGAAACACCAGACATACCCTAGGGAGTCTGTTATCTTGCCAACAATAATACTTCACGTAATTCTGTAGGCAGAATAACTGTGACAAAATACATGGAAAGTTTTTTGTGAATTAGCAGCTGAGGCAGAATTAACATTTCAGCATTACCTAATACTAAATTAATAAAAATCCCTGCAGAAGAGTCAAATGTGCTTTCTTCTACTGACCACAGACGATAAGGTCTCAAATGGAGTACAATCCTGCCACCTTGACTCGAACAAGCCCTTCGTGAGGAATTTGCCAGTTTGATTGCTGTGGTGGGTGGTGATTCTCCGAGTAGCAATTATAGTGACAGAATTCATCAAGACTAAAAACAGAAAAAAAAAATATGCATGATTAAACCACTATCAAATGGAAATTTTGACACGGAAACATGGGGGGGGGAATGAGGAGTTTTCACTTTGGCCAACTATGAGGAGTTTGACTTCATTTTGAAGTTTAAATGTTATCCCCCACAAAAAAATAATAATCTAAATAGAACAATACGACTTGGAACTTCCATAAGTCTTTATGAGATTTTTCACTCTTTTCTGGGATGAAGGTATTTTTTTTACTATTTTTGTGCTGTAGGTGAGAAGCAGGAACAGAGATCATTCAAGATAATCTGTTTAGCATCAAGTCAGAGGCAGCGTGCGTGCATGGCTTCTCACGAGCACTTGGGTTGATACTGAATCTACATTCTCCGATTCCATGCCATTCAGGGAGAAAGGGGACATTTCCAAATTGAGCTCAAGAGAGGCCTCAGTGGTGTGTGGAGGGTGGTTAATTCCATGTTCTACAATTTAAAAGAATTTTTAAAAGATTTTATTAGAGGAATTCTTGATTTAAAGTGGTACTTCAGGAAGTAATCAACTGTTTTACTGTCATATTGAGATAATAGCTACTTCTCTGCCTGTATAAACTCAAATAATATCCCTGTCTTGGCCTCCACACAGGAGAACGAAGCATTTGGGATCAAACTGACTAGAAAGAGGTCATTACAGCTAAAAACCCACGAGACTCACCAAAAGGAAGAGAACACAGACGGATCGTGGAGATAAGTGGCAAATTGTATTAATATCGGTTTATTCCTGATTACTTGGTAAATGAGAGAGAAGAAGGAAAAGTGAGTAAGTAAAAGGAAGTAAGAGAGACCAAAAGAAAGGGGGATGTATTCAGCCCGCGGCTGTCAAATACAAACATGTCTTTGTTATTTGAAAATCTCCAGTTAATTTGACTAGTTTACTCAATTAAAAGAAAAGTCATTTTAAAATACTCTTGTCATTATGCTTCCTTTGCTGATGATTTAATTTTCTATCTATTTATAAAATCTGTCAAGATATGGAGATGCAGAGTTTTGGCTCTTATGGTGTTTAATCATTAATTTCAGCTGACCTGTTAGGATGGTGCCAGTTCACCTTGGTGAACACACAGGACCATGATAAATAGCCCACTCACCTCCACTGTCACAACCATCACCACCACCACCATCATCACCACCATCACCATCACAGTTACCACAGCTATCCCCATGACTACTACCATCTCCACCACTGTCTCCAATTGACACCCTCACCATTCTCACCTCACTGTCACCACAACGACCACTACCACCACCACTGTCACCATGACTACAACTCTCCCCATAACTACCAACATTCCCACCATCATCTCCATCACCACCATGACCCTTACCACCATCACTATCACCAATACCGTCATTACCACCACAATCACCATCCCTACCATCACCATTGTATTTCTTCACTTCAGAATTAAAATTAAACAATACATCTTTGTCCTGGCCATTTAAAATGTCATTTAGAGTTGCATGCTTTGAGTAGGGTGTGATTTCTTTGCAAATGTAAGAATAACTTCCGACTGAGATAGGAGGGGCACTAGCTTACATGGAGATGGTCAAAGACAAGGCGATTTTATGGAACTGGTTACACAGGGAAGCTCTGCCTAGAAAATCATTAAAAATCCAATTTTAGTATAGGTGCTGGCCAAAGTAAGCACTTAAGGATTATAATCCAACAGAAGCAGCAATCAATATGTAAACTGAATGAAGTCTTCTCCTCTAGTCCATTGTGGTCACTCAGGTCTTTGAATAGCAACACAAAATTGCTGGAAGCCCTATCGTATATACCATGGGATCCTTGTACTTTCCTCTATAACCAGATATTCTGAAGGGAAAACAGAAGACTCATTTCCAGTCTGTTAGGGTTTGGATGTGAGGTGTCTCCACCCCCAAACTCACGTGTGAGACAATGCAAGAAGGTGTAAGAGAGAAATGATTGGGTTGTGAGAGTCTTAACCCAATCAGTGATTTAATCGCCTGATGGGGATTAATTGAGTGGTCACTGAAGAGGTGGGCTGTGGCTGGAGGAGGTGGGCCTTTGGGGGCGTGGCGTTTGGGTAGATATTTGTATCTGGCAGCCAGTTCTCTCTGCTTCCTGATCGTCATGTGAGCTGTTTCCCTCCGCCACATTCTTCTGCCGTGATGCTCTGCCTCACCCTGGGCCCCAAGGAAGGAGCCAGCATTCCATGGACTAAGACCTCTGAAACGGAACCCTCGAATTAACTTTTCCTCCTCTATGGTTGTTCTGGTCAGATCTTTTAGTCACAGCAGCAAAAAGGCAGACTAAAACAGAATCTCAAAATTTTCTCACTATTATCTCACACATAATGGCTTACAGGCTCCCTGGAGCGTCTTCCCTCAGAGATGCAGCACCCTTCCCTCTTCTAGTAGCCAAAGCTGTTTCAAGAAATAGTCCCTCCTGAAGGTTTGGCGACATTAAAGAGGGTGCAGCGTTGCCAGATGGGATAGAAAACAATGGGAATCTGAATGCTGTGTTCTCAAAGTCTCCTAACTCTCTGTCCTCAAAACACTCCCCTTCCTTGGATCCCAGCCTGCGATCGTGTTTCTGGGGTTCACTCTCTCTGTTAGGACCTTTCTCCTTTCTCATTTCGGAGTCCTTTGGTCCCAGCATGATTTCTTCCTCTCTGGCAGTCAATGGTCAAATTCTAGATTCTTTGTTCTCTATTATATTTGGCTAGGATAGACTTAATTGCCAGGAAGAAATAGAATCCAACTAATGAATACAATATGTTTCTTACTTAAATGGAAATTCAACTGTTAGGTTATCTCAGAGTTGATTCCATAGCTCAGCCACATCATGAAATGCCAAAGTACTTTCTTCTTTTCAGCCCAACATATTTAGAGTATTGGCTTTTTACTCTGTAGTGATCTGAATGTTTGTGTGCCTCCCAAATGTGCATATTAAAATTCTGGTTCCTGTTGGATGGCATTAGGAAACGGGGCCTTTGGGCCATGATTAGGTCAGGAAAGTACAGTCTTCATCAATGGGATGAGTATTGTTATGAAAGGGATCCTGGAGAGCTCTTTCACTGCATTTCTGTCACGTGGGGATGTAAACAGAATTTGACAGTCTGAAATGCAGAAGAGGGCCCTTACTAGGTCCCAACCATGCTGGCACCCTGATCTCCGACTTCCAGCTTCCATAATTATAAGAAATAAATTTGTTTTTCATTAGTCTTCTAATCTCTGGTACTCTGTAATAGAGGCTTAAACTGGATAAGGCACACCCGCATGCTGGTGGCAAGACAGCTGCTATGGCTCCAGGTATTGCATCCATGTTTTTATGGCAGCATAAAGCAGTACCAAGTAAGTCCTTTCTTTTTCCAATCTCATGGAAGGAAAGCTTTCCCAGAAGCCCTTTCACTGGGCAGGATGACATCACGTGGTTCTGGGAGTCTATGTGCCTAGCAAAGGAAAATGGGACTGGTCTCACTGGTTCACTTTTGTTCTGAACAAAACATGGACTCCAGAAGTAAAGAAGCAAGAGGTATGACAACCAAAAATGTCTGGCACTGGGCTTATGCTTTTCTTAATCATAAAAGGCTATTTGCTATGGTTTGGATATGGAATGTCCCTTAAAATCTTGTGTATTGAAAACATGGTCCCCAGTGCAGAAAGACTCAGCCGTGGGGCTCTTAGGCAATGATTGGATCATGACGTCTCTGAACACTTGCTGGATTAATCCACTAATAATCCAATAGACTACTGGGAGGTGGGACTTGGTTGGAGGAAGTGGGTCATTGCCGCAGTCTGGCTGGGCACAAATCACGAGCCACTGAAGCAGGAACAAACTTTATTTCTGAACTCCACCAGCACACTCCACACACGCTCCCCGGGAACTCTCGCCAACGCCATGCGGTTCCTCTAGGAACCACCAACTGGAAATCCCTCCTCCAGCACTTCCCCAACCAATGGGAACTCTCCAGGAATCCCCGCGAGAGCTCAACGGGAACTCCACGGGAACTCCGCGAGAACTCAAAAGTCATCGTCTCAATGGCTCGCTGGCGTCACCTCTCAACCACTACTTCTGGCAAAAATGCCATGCCTCATCCCGACTCGGCTGCGGCCCTCAACCGGTCATTGGTTTATCTTCTTCCCAGTCCCTTCCTCCACTTGCTCCCCTGCTTCCCCTGCCCCGAGATGAGCAGCTTTGCCTCATCATGCCCTTCCACCATGACATTCTGTGTCACCTCAGGTTCAGAGCACTGGAGTCTGCCCTGTTATCTCTGAAATGGACCCGAAATAAACCTTTCCTCCTCTAAGTCGTTCTTGTCATGTGTCTTGGTCGCATCAATAAAAAGCTGACCGACCCGGCTTTGCACCAGTCAGGACATTTTGTTCCCGTCTGACCTTTCTTTCCTCTCCCTCTACATTGCTGTTACGTGTTCTCAAGATAGATCAGCTTCCTCCACATCAGGGGAAGCATACTGACCGAATGCCTCCTAATTCTGCATGTTCTGCCTCCAGAGGATAGAGGAACGGTGTGCTGTGTTTCGCAGGGCAAACTAAGCCCCACGATAACGTAATAACCAGGTCTTGGCTTGACCCAGCTGGGGTCAGAGGTGGCCATCCCCAGGCCCACCAAACGCAGTGGCAGGCTGGGATTTATTCAGTTGAAGCTAGGTGCATCCCAGGACTCATTTAACAGTGGCCTGAGAGGCCATATCTTAGAAGAAAACAGAAGGTCCTGGCCTGGTGAAAGGATACTTGCCAGGAGAGTCGAAGAAAGGGTTGCCAGGGGTCAGGACTGCAGACCTCCATCACAAGCTGCCTCCCACTTCCCAGCCTCTACCCAAAGCAAAGGGAACCACTGTCGTCGTTGTTTAAAATACTCTCGCGCCTTCGCCAGGGCTCCCTAGAAAGCAGAGGCTGCAATTAAAGCCTCTGAGCTGCAGCTTCACTAGGGAGGACAGTCCCTGGGAAAGAGGGTGAGGGAAGGAAGGTGGAGAGTGGATCTGAGAGGGTGTCGCCAGGCTGTTGTGACTCGGTATCCTGCTCAGGTGATGCTCTGTCCTGGAGAACCGTCTCTGGCCAGGCCCTATGAACTAGACTGGGTCTGAGAAAGGAGGGAGGGAGAAAAATGCACATACCTGTCTTCCTACTGTTCAAAGTTTTGCCACCAGGACATTAACTTCCTTCATTGGACTTGGGTCCAAGTGAATCCCTCTGCATCTCTTGCCTCAGGGAGAGAAGGGCAGCCACACAAGTGCAGGTGTGAGGTGCAGAAAGGCAGCCACGGGGAGTCTGTGGTGCTGGCGTGTCTGGTGGAGCCCAAGCTGAGCTGGTGACATGGGTGTTGTGAGAAGGATCCTAAAGTCCATGCAGCTGAGCTCACCCAAGGTGGGGTCAAAAGGCGTCGGAGGCAAATACTCCTCTCCTTCTTCCCACTCTAGGTAAATGTTCTCTGTGAGCATCCTGTGTGCAAGGTGCTTCCTGAGGAGGAAAATACCAAGAAGAGGACAGTGTTCCTGCACAACCACTCCCCACAAAAAAAAAAGAGCATCATATTGGGAAGGCAAGATATGTACTTATGCAAAGATAACTAACAATATGAGCTAACACAGTGAAAAGATATGTCACTGCAAATAATGAGTGCAGAAATACTTGCATTTATTCTTTTGCATATTCAAAAACATTTATTGAGTGTCTATTATCTAGCAGGCAAAGGGGGATTTGAAGATTCGTGGTTTCAGAGATCTTAGAGCACAGTCATGCTTTCCATTAACATTTGAAATCATTAGATGCTTTTAAAACATCTCAGTTAGAATTTATATAATATTTGTACAATAAGATCTAGATTCACTTCTCTTGAAGAGTGTGAAGAGGTGGTTTTTCAAGAATATCCATGAGTGAATGAATGTTAATTCTTCCTTGAAATACTTAATATCTGGTTGGGAAAAACCCAGGATGATATTTTGTGGGTATGAATAATATTGTAAGTGTGTCTCACTGCCAGCCATCCTTAGAACCATCCCAAGTGAGTAGGGGAAGGGAATGGGGAAGGAGACAAAAGGCTGATTTGGAATCTCCGGTCCTCCACTTACCAGCTATATGATCTTGGGCCAATCCCAATCTTGTGGATCTCAATGTCCTTGTGTACAATATGGACATATGTCACACCTGTTTCAAGGAATTGCATTATAATAACACCTTGCAACTGTATAAACCATTTTACAGTAAAAAATCCCTTCCCAGCATTTAGACCAATGCATTTTGTATAACACTTGATCCTCCCAACCATGAAAGAAATGAATATTAGAAAGTGCTTTGTAAATTTTGAGGTCCATTAGGTTATTAAGAGGCTCTTTTAAAGTCAAAATAATAAGTAAACTAATTTAACAGCAATATGATGTCTTGCACTTATAAATCATTTTTTAGAGTGCACAAATTTAGATGTGGATCCAGGTCCCCATTTGGACAAGGAGGACAGCATATGGCAGAGGTGGGCCCTGCAGTCTTCACCCACTAGATCCATGCTCCAAGTTCCACATCCACCTCTCCATTCACCTGCTGAATGTATATTAGCACTTTGAATTTAAACTGTGAATTTCTTCCTTGCATCTTAATTCTGCCTTTACTGGCATTCGTTTATAAAACATGACAACATTCTTATGAAAAAGTAATAATTTTTCCTCTTCATGCTTTATAGTTTTAAAACAGAAGACTGTTGGGAATTCCTTGAAATTTCAGAGCAAATTATTGGCACAGGCAGAAGGGGGAAAGACCCAAGACAAACAAACAAAATTCCTTTCCACCAGATCACAGACTCTAATGGCATCATTGAAATTCCACTGTGAATTCAAGCTACATAAAATTAAGAATTCTATACTTATAAAGAGCTTGGGAAAATTAAGACACATTTATCACTACATTTCAAAACTTCCTAAATGCAAGAAATTATATTTTTTTAAAAAAGGTTTAGCTCATTTTTCATTCAGTGGGTAATAAAAGTAGGACAACAAATTGATACAATCAAGCCATCGACTCAAAAATACAATCTCTCGTGCCTCTCAGGTTTTGCAGACACACTGCATGGGCCCCCTTAATTACCCTTTGACACCTAGGAGAGCAAGGGTTTAATGCAAATAACTAGCTTTCTTTCTGAAGAAAACAATGTTTACTTTGCATTTCAAGCTGCAGTATAATACGAAGGTTATATTTGCAGCAATAATCATTCTACACATTCTGACTTCTTTTTTTTTATTTTTGGGGGGGTTTTTAGGGGCGTTCCCTTTTTTTTCTTTTCTTGTTCCAAAAAAAGTCTCACTGGGCATGGTAGCCCACATCTATAACCCCAGTGGCTGGGGAGGCTGAGGCAGGAGGATGGCAAGTTCAAAGCCAGCCTTAGTAACAGCAAGGCACTGAGCAACTCGGTGAGACCTTGTCTTTAAATAGCATACAAAATAGGGCTGGGGAGGTGGCTCAGTGGTTGAGTACCCCTGAGTTCAATACCCAGCACTCCCACCCTCCTCAAAAAAGGGTTTTCAGTTCAGGCAGAGGAAATGAAGAAATTTTTGCTTCTGTTTACCCATCCATTCATTTATATAATAATTGAATGCCTACTCTGTGATCTAGGCACCGGGGATGCAGCTGTGGGAAAGATATCTTTGTCTCATGCCTTATGTTCTAACTGGAGGTGAGACCATAAATATCACTAGTAAGCCCATAATAAGAAGGATAAATGTTTTGGGTAGCAATGAAATGGAGAAGGAGGAAAAGAGCTGGGGTTGTCCTTTAAATAATGTGGTCCAGGAAAACCTCACGGAGAGGGAGGCGTTTGAACACATTCTGGGTGTGGGGGTAAGGTGACTTCACTAGTATCTGTGACCAGCTGTGACTATCTAGTGCAAAAAGAACACAGGAAGGAAAAGGGGGTGAAGGAAGAAGCCCAACTTGGGGGTAAGTCTAGAATGTTTCAAAAATTGCACAAGAACAATGGAGCCCCACGGGAGTAGAGGAGCGAGACAGGCCTCCAGGAGGAGAGGTTATGCAGGCACACGATGATTCAGGGGCGACCAGTCCTGCGGGGCTTTGCCTGTGCTCAGAGTGAGATGGGAATCACTAGGAGATTTTGATTAGAGGAATGACATGATCCCACTGACATTTTAAGATAGTAAGAATGCAAGCGGGGATGCCACTTGGGAGGTTATGGCCACAATCCAGATGAGATAAGAAAGTGGCTTGAACCAGGGCGGGTAAGCAGTGGGCATGGTGAGAAATTGGAGGATTCTAGATCTGTTTTCAAGATAGGTGCAATAGAGTTCATGATGGGTTGAATCTGGAGTGTGAGACGGGGGCAGGGGTGCACGTCAAGGATGACTCTGGTTTTGGTTTGTGCACTGAAAGTCACAGTTGCTGATAAGAGAAAGAGTGGGGCTGGACTGGAGCTGTGGGAGGAGCAGACATCATTAATTCTAATGGCACATTAGAGATGTCTACTAGACACCCAGGTGGGGGGACAAGTAAGAGCTGGGCTTACCCGTCTGTAATTCAGAGGGGTCATCAGGATTGGAGATTTAATCCCAGAGGCTCAGGAGGCTGAGGCAGAAGGATCACAAGTTCCAAGCCAGCCTCAGCAACTTAGTGAGGCGCTAAACAACTCAGTGAGACCCTATCTCTAAATAAAATATGAAAAGGGCTGGGGATGTGGTTCAGTGGTAAAACGCCTCTGGGTTTACTCCTGGGGACCAAAAACAAAACAACAAAACAAAACAGCATGAGATTACCAAGGGAGTGTTAAGCAGTTTGAAAAGTACAGGGAGGTTCCAGAGTCACATCTGCACACTCCAACATGAAGAAGGGAGATGAGAAAAAACAGGAACAAGGAGGGAAAAAAAAACCCCTAGGAACCTGTGAGCTGGAAGCCATACGAAGAATGGACAGGTCACCTGTGATAAGTACTGCTACTAATAGGTCAAAGGAAGCAACCTCTGAAAATGAATACTGTGTCCAGCCAAGTGGAAGTCACTGTTAGCCTTGTTGATAGAGTGAGCTTAAAGCAGGACAGAAGACCATTAAGAAAGCTTGAAAGAAGCCTGAGAAACACTGGGCAACAAGAGGCAATGCCGTCCATGTATGTTCTTCCTTCAGCTGGAAGACTGTGTGTATTTGAATTTAGATCTTCAATCACTATGAAGTGTTACTATGTTACTATGTTATGGCCAAAGCAGAAATGTGACCTTGAAATATATATATAACAATGTATATTATATGTAACATATGACAGATATGATTTTTCAAAAACAATTTACTCAATCCTGTCATCTACTCAGATACAAGTGTAGATAAGATTCAGCCAAGTACCGTTAAAACCTAAATCCAAAGGGTCACGTTTCCATCGCCATCTTCTATCACATTATCTTGCTATTTCAGCAATGATATTGGTGATTACATATTGGCCACCTGCCTAAATGCTGGTTCGAATCTATCATTTAAATACATATTATAGTAAATAGCATCATTGTGCAAAAGCCAAGAGGTATTTAGTGGTTGGTGTTTCCTACCTTTCCAAAACACAAAGAAGCTCTTTTTGGTCTCCAGGATGCAGGTGTAATGTTGGGAAATGCCATGAAAATTCCACCAGTGCACTTGCCTGGGAAAAAATAGCTGATTTTTTAAGTTATAAAAACATGCTTGCTCTTCCATCTGAGTGGGTGGATGGAAATGGGTAAAAAAAACCAAATGTACCGTTTCCAGCTGATCTGTTTATGTAGTAAAACCTTGAAAACATTTCAAAATAAACAGTCCTAAATAGTTAGACTAATTTAAATTTTGCTCTGAAATGTTTATCGGACTTACTTATTGTTTTGCATTGAACCTTGACCTGTACATATGAAAATTAGATTAAACCCATTTCAGTACATTTAAAATTTATCTTTTCAAAGAGTCACTTGCTATGGATACGTGGTCAGGAAAAACTCAAATAGCTTCTTAAAATCTTAAGTGCAATGAATTTGGGGCAATAAAAAGAATTTAGAAAACATGAATGGGAAATGGTAATGGGGCCACATATATACCTCCCCTGCCACACCGAGTGTCAGACAAATGTGGATTATTATAGAGAACCTGCACACAGTATCTGGAGTTGAACTTGACTTCACAGTGTCTACTACTGCAAAAATGGTTTCAGTTACAGCTGGAGCTGTTTACAGAAAGCTATTTCAGTTTTCCTGCACTCAAATTAAACAGTTGTAGAATGGAGTGCTTTCAAACAGAAATGAAAAAGCCTATTTATTTGATATCATGAGCCAAACAGAAAAGATAAAAGTACCATTAATTACCCAAATGTCTAGTTTCACTCCCAGGTCCAAGTGTGATGCTCTGCATGTTCTTACTGGTGGTCAAAGAGGTTCATGGTCTCTCTTATAGATTGACGTGGCCGTTGCTGATTCCCTACTCCTGCTACTTGGCTTGTTCTTCTAGGGCATTGACAAGAGGTATTTAAATCCTAAAGCATGATAGTAGATTCCTAAAGGAGCCACTTATTTGCAACTCTT